ATGAGAGTCAGTGAGAGTTGATGAGAGTCCGTGAGAGTTGATGAGAGTCAGTGAGAGTTGATGAGAGTTGATGAGAGTCAGTGAGAGTTGATGAGAGTCCGTGAGAGTTGATGAGAGTCAGTGAGAGTTGATGAGAGTCAGTGAGAGTTGATGAGAGTCAATGACAATGAGAGTCAGTGAGAGTTGATGAGAGTCCGTGAGAGTTGATGAGAGTCAGTGAGAGTTGATGAGAGTTGATGAGAGTCAGTGAGAGTTGATGAGAGTCAGTGAGAGTTGATGAGAGTCAGTAAGAGTTGATGACAATGAGAGTTGATGAGAGTCAGTAAGAGTTGATGAGAGTCAGTGAGAGTTGATGAGAGTCAGTGAGAGTTGATGAGAGTTGATGAGAGTCAATGACAATGAGAGTCAGTGAGAGTTGATATGGCGTTCCGTTCCGGTCAAAATTATTTCAAGTCAACAAGTAATAGTCAAACATTATATCGACATGTTATAACTCTCAATATAATGTTGAAAATATCAAGATGAAGTTCAAACTCAAAAAAATAAAACGAAAGTTTAAAGCATATACTTCAAAACTGCAAAATACATTTCAAACCTCTAAGGATATACATGAAAATTAAACGCAAGTCGAAACTTTTATTTATAATACGAAACTCCCAAATGATAAGTCAAAGCCGCGGCTCATAAAAATAAATCGAAAAGTCAAAAATATAAATCGAAAGGAAACGGAAGTAAGCAACTTAACTAGAGGAAGTCAGGAAACGGAAGTTAACCACAAACATTGCTAAGCTCGTCTTTTAACAATAACATTCGCTATGATTCAACCGAATATTTTTCTCAATGCTTAAAATCCTCTAGAGCAACAACTTTTGTCAGATATGCGCACCCTTCAAGTGATTGTTCGTCGTCAAAGGGAAACATGCGAAAGATGCGAATTTTGGTGTGGGAAGACAAAGACTGGACGTCTGACAACAGGCCATCTAAACTTTAATTCTCCAAGTTGGACTTTCCTGAGCAGAAATTACAAGAAATTTTGAGTATCTGAGAGTGCAATACGACGACGTCGACGTTAATTTTACTTTGTCTCCGCTATATACGAACAGGGAATCACTCAATCACATTCTACGATAAGGGACAATGATTTTGATCTACTTGTTCGTGGTATCTCACAAGTATCACCCAGGATCATCAGGCTATAGATTAGTACAAGAATATTTATCTCGTAAACATCCAGACGGCGAGCAAGATATTCGGTTGAATCATAATATAATATAATATAATAATGTAATTGTTACTGTAAAAGACGAGGTCAGCAATGTTTATAAAGAGAGAAATAATTCGTCAGTTTCGAAATCTTTAACTTTTTAATATCGACATACGTAAATATCTCAGCGCGTGTTCACCCCCCTTTAAAACAAAGAATACCATTCGCTGGCTTCTTGGTTAACTTCCGTTTCCTGACTTCCTCTGTATTAAGTTGCTTACTTCCGTTTCCTTTCGAGTTATATTTTTGACTTTTCGATTTATTTTTATGAG